TTGATAAGATTAGAGAGGGAGTTGAAGGTAAACTTGAATTATGGAGGTCAACCTTAGAGTCTAAATGCTTTCGTTTGAGTAGATCTAAAACTAAATATATGGAGTGTAATTTTAGTAATAATGGATCTAATGGTGAGATTGTGACTTTGGGCGATCAAGTCATTAATAAGAGTACATGTTTTAGATATTTTTGGTTTATTGTTTAGAGTGATGGTGAAATGGATGTGGATATTATTAGTAGAATTCAAATTAGATGATTGAAGTGGAGGAATGTATCGAGCTTGTTGTGTGATAGAAAAGTGACCATCAAACTTTAGGGAAATTCTATAAGATGGTGGTGAGACCTGCAATGCTTTGTGGTGCAGAATATTGGCTATTAAAAGAGAAGCATAATATTAAGTTAAGTGTTGTAGAGATGAGGATACTCAGGTGGATGAGTGGCTTTACTCTTAGAGACATGATAGGAAATGAGCATATATGTGAAAAGGTTGGTGTAGCTGCTCTAGTGGAAGATAAGATTAGAGGGAGTTGCCTCAGATGATTCGGTCACATAAAACGGCAGCCTTCCGATGACCCAGTTAGAAAAGTAGATATATTATATTTGACTTATGTTAAGAATGGTAGTGCTTAACCTAAAAAGACTTTGTTAGAAAATATTAGAAATGATATTTCCTTATTGGATTTAAACGAGAATTTGACTCTTAACATGACACAATGGAGAAAAAAGATTCATGTAGCCAACCCCACATAGTGGGATAAAGGCTTGATGTTGTTGTTGTTGTTCTCTTTTAGGTTATCTTTGGTCTATTACTTAAATTAATGAGATGTAGATTGTTGGAAATAGTTGGGCATTTCGTTTAAGTTGATTGTTACAAGTTGAAGATTATTTGATGTAGGAATACAATGCTTAAAGTAATTTGATAAAAACTTGCACGACTTATTGATTAGAATAATAAAGACAAGAACTACTATCAAATAAAATGCAAGAGCGATCACTTCCGTTTAGGCTAAGTTGTACAAATAAGAGCTTTGAATTATGAAAATAACAAAGAAAATCAACGACATGCAAATATAATAGCTTTCAACGAAAATCCCTAATCTAGCAATAAGATTAGAAACAAATAAAGTGCACTCAATCCTACACTTACTAGGTCTTGGGCAACGACGAAGCAAAACTTTACGTTTACTAGCTTAGGCAAAGGTGAAGCTCGGCTCCTTGAGAATCGCCATCACCTACAAGGAGAGGGGATTAGAGAGTTAATTGAAAAGGGGAAGAATGTTCACCTTTGTCAAAATCCAGAAATAAGTTGTTAAGAGGATGAGGTCATTTTTCATAGCTTCCTTTGAAGGTTCAATTGGAGAGAATGAAATTTCTCACACGCGTTGAAGTGTTGAAAGCAATGATCCTTGGCTCGCCTTGAAGAATCCCCTTTGAGAGAAAGAAGTTTTTCTCAAGAAATCAAGTGGAGCGAAGGATGGGAGGTGGCCGGTCAATGGAAGAAACTTGGAGAAGAATTAGGTTCAGAATTTCATGATTAGGTTTAAAGTTTAGAGGGGAAAAGTTAGTTGGGAGGGTTGAAATATCTTTCCAAATCAAAGTCCTTTGATTTGGCAAGAATTTGAATAACCTAGAGGGGGAAGAGAGGAGGCGGGTAAGGCTTGGCTGAAATTGGATTTAATTCCAAAGAGGAGGTGTAATTTTGGGAAGGGAATTAATTGGGTGGGCCATTGAGAATTTCAGTCAAGAGAGAGAGGGGGCCAAGTGTCTAGGTGCATTGTATTTGGAGTTAAGACTTTAATTAATCAATCCATCATGCTTTGATTGATTGAATTAAATAAGAACATTTATCAAAATAGGATAAAGAGAAAAATGAAAGATTTGAAATTTGGAGTTAAGGCTTTAATTAATCAATTCATCATGATTTGATTGATTGAATTAAATAAGAACCTTTCTTAAAATAGGATTTAGAGAAAAAGGAAAGATTTGAAATCTAAAATTGATTTATTTCAAATTCAAATATTTTCCAAAAACAAGTTGACTCAAATAAGGTAAGCGGTAAAGGAATTCCAATTAACTTGAAATTCAAATGGAGTTTAATTTATGAAACTTTCCTAAAATATATTTTATTATTTTATGAAAGTTTTTAAATTTCAAATTGAGTGAATTTGAATTCAAAATCTATCCAAAATTATGACAATCTAGAATAGGTAATAAATCCAAGAGAGGGAAGGGGCTAGGGGCCGATGGCTTGCTTGAGGTTTGGGTAAGGGAGCCGGCAGCTAGGTGGAGGTGACTTGGGGAGTTTTCGGTGGAAGGATGGTGGGGATGAAGGTGGTCGGTGGCTTGGAGTGAGGTGGGGTTAGGCGGACGGTTGGGTAGGAGATGAGAAAAAAAAAAGATAAAGATAAAGAAGAAAACCATGAACCCGGCCGTCTCTAAGGTTGGTGGGTGATCCAAATTCCCTCTCCTAGGGTTCTCGCTCTCTCTCCAAGCACTCTCAAGATCTCTCAAGAACTCAAGCAATATCATAATTTATTTTTATCATTCAATCATTAACTTTAGAAGAAGAACATGAGGGCTATAAATAGCCTCGTACAAAAAGGACTCAAAGATAAAAGACAACCTTGCCCTTTGGGCTTACATACGACTTCCCTTAAATAAGGGGTAAAATGGGAAAAAAATAATTACAACATAAATAACAAATAACATAATAAAACAAATACATGAAATAACTTAAAACACATTGATTCGATCGTGGCCGTAGCGTGGCCGTAGATCAACAACCACGCCTCAGATATACTTTTCATGCTCTGTTGTCCCCATCATTATTATGTTTTAGTGAACATTATTATGAGTTGAGCAAATGTTTCTAGTTACTATTAAGTTCATTATTTCTTTTTTAAATATTGAATAAATGATGGTGAGCTAAATAAATATGACGATAATTTATATCATATTTATGATTTTTTTAAAATTTTATGAGTTTTTAATTTTTCTGTTTCAAGACTTATGCCTCAATCAATTCCTCGAGATTTATGCCTCAATCAATTCCTCGAGATTTATGCCTCACTTTGCTAATGTAAAGTGCATCAGTTCCTGATTTCACCTTTTTAAACATTGCATTTAAATCACTAAGCTATCGCACAACCTCAACTCAATGATAGCCTGAAAGCTGTCCATGAGTTTCAATCTGGTACAATTGCATTCTTGAGAGAGATCACTTTATATATTTGGACCAAAAATTAACAAATGGGGAAGAGACAAGATAAATGAAAAAATGTCTAAAGATCGATGACTAAGTCTTCAATTTAGCCGAACCAAAGATTAATATTTCTTTGATTATTTATCTGCATTATTTTGATCTTGCATAGTCATTAGCAGATCACCCCTTTTATTTAGACCAAAGATCTGAGGAGGAAGGAGGGTCCTCTTGTTGGACCAAAGATCAATGATATGATGTCTTCTATTTAATTGGATTAAAGATCAATAACTCTTCATTGATTCACTTGTATTTGCAAGTTTGAGAATTATTGGGTTGTCAAATATATGGAGATAGAGCTTGACATCGCATGGAGAGGGGATTGCATTGGGGAAATACTCAAATGAGTGCAGAGTGCTTATTGCTAAGAGGTACTAGAGAGAGAATGCTGCAGAAGAGAGAGAATGGCAAGATAAGCATCAGGAGTTGGAGATTTGTGGGAGTGGTTTTTGTGTGAGTAGAAGAGATAGAGATGAATGGGACATTGGTCATTGGTGGGCACATGTTAGATATGTCAAGAGCGGGAGATATGTCAAGAGCGGGAGGTCTGTTTGTTGTGTGCGGTAAGTTGCGAGAGCATTGAAGTAAGGATCTATGTGTAGGTGGAGGAGTTTGCAAGCAAGCAATGAGAGGAGGGTCTTTAAGCTTGTAGTAGAGCTCAGAGCGAGGTTTAGCACCTGAGAGTAGTGAGCTGAAGTTGAGGGTGAGCGGGGAGGAAACTGGCGGATTGGAGCTTTGTGCATTATGGAAGGGAGAACCAGAACTGTTTCATGTGAGTGGGATAGATTGTGGTTGGGATATTTTGTAGTTTCACATGAGTGGAAGAGAGCGTCACTCGAGATTTGCATTGTAGGCGTAGGCATGTGTATAGCTCACATATTGGGATAGGTGCGTAAGTAGATTAAACTTTTTAATTAATTTATTTTTATTTTTCTTTTTTAGCTAACGTTTGAATGGTGTAACTGAACTCATTTTCTTGTTTGCTTGATGCTATTTCAATATGATGCTTGGACTTTTCCCATCTTATGGTCAAATTGCATATATCAATGTACATTGCCGTTTTTTTCCTTTTTAATATTCTCTTTTAGCTAACATTAGTATTTAGGGTGAATAGCATATATGCTGGCCATTAGTGAAATTATTATCATATTTGCGTGATACTGGTTTAATACCATCCTTGGATTTTTATCATCTTATGGCCAAATTATTTAATCAAAGAAGGTTGTGAATTTGACTAAAAAATCCAAGATAGCTTGAAGGTTTGTTACTCGGATTAAGCTCATATCTAAATCAACAAGCCAAAGCCTGACTCAATTCAAACTTGCATTGAACCAAATTAAATTTGGATTAAAACATATTTGCATACATGTAAATGTTTCTGTGCATGTATGAATCTATGCATTACATTCTGTGTATAAGCAATTATATATATGAATATCAGGCTAAAAATGTATTCTAAGATTGAAAATCAAACTTATTTCTAGCCAGAATAGATGCTAATGAGTGAGTTGGAGTTGAACGTAGCTCGGTTCGAGATTGAATCAAATGATTTTGAGGCAATTATGGACCAGATTTTAATAGTCTTTAGATTGAGTCATTGGAGGCCTTGGCATTAAAACACCCTTGCGCTAGCATGTCTCTGAATTATATATGTTGTCATTTAGTATGGTATACGAATTTATTGAATATTGCTTGTATGTTGTTTCGCAACACTAATCTAGTATTTTTAGTTGTATTCAGGTGTACTTATATGGAGGTCATGTAACATCTTGGAAGAATGATCTTGGAGAGGAGTTGCTTTTCTTGAGCAGTAAGGTAACAAAATTTTCTAGTCATCAGATCGTTATTCAAGCATAAATATAGTTGCATCCAGTCATTTTGCGGAGCGATTTGTTTCATTTGCTATCCTTGATAGAATTCCAGTATAGCGGGTAGCGTCCTACATAACATGCTTCATTAAACATTTTTCTCGGCAAATATTTTCTTCCAAAATTTTGCTGATTCTACTCTTTTAATTTGGTTGTGATGCGGTTATTTGAAGTAATTTGTTCAAATAAAATTTCAAAATAAAATAATTAAAATATCATTATTGCTTACAATGTCATTTATCTACGAACTAACATAATAATTAAATTAATGGCAATATATGATTACTAACTTATGGATCCCCAATCTCATAATTAAAAAAAGGATTTTTTGACCTATGTAAAAAGTATTTTCACATATTTAAATGGAAATCATTGTAGAAGTCAAATTAGCAATTCATAGTAGAAACATCTCATCTAAATAATTTGGAAGATTTGAAAAGAAACTATTATATGATCTGTTTTTTCTTTTAAAATCTTTGGAATCATATGATGATGAAGTGAATAATTGATAGAAGCTAATTTGATATCTATATTATAAAAACAAAAAATTAAAATTCTTGCATTGCAATGATCATTACTCTTGAAGCATGCAACAGTGATTACAAATGATTCTATTGTACTACTCAATTACTAGTTGAATGCCAAAAAAAAAAAAAGTTTTTTTTTAATTGATTAACTTAATTCAAATAGATTTTTTTTGAATTGATTAACTATATTCAAATAGAAATTAATTCATTTAATAAATTGAACTAATTTTGAAATTACCATCTGCATGATGAATTCATGCATGCTCTTTGTAGTATTGATGCCACCGTCTTTTAGCTGCACTATAAGAAGCACTATTTTTCTGTTTTTTTTTTTAATTCTATGTTCTTATTCGCATATATTTGACAACTATATTCTCATCTTCGCTTAGCTTCCTTTGCTAATATTTCATAAAAAAGATTGTAGTTTTGAATATTTTTTTTGTTCGATATACATATTAATTTGGTCTAAAAGTTTAAGAATAAAAAATAATTATGAATTTATAAAATTGTACTAATTAATTTAAATTGAAGAGAAAATCTAACCATAAAAATAGCTGGAAAGCAAATTTACTGTGCATCTAAACCTAAAATTATTACACCACTTTGTTTATTGACGTGAACTTTGGAGGAAAAAATAAAAAAAGAACCTAATTTTTCTTGGCTGAATTTATTTTAGTGGAATATCAATCATCTTTGAATAGTACTATAGACAAAAATTGAATGATTATTATGTTTTTTCTTGGTAGACTTTATTTGAGTGGAATTTCAAGGGCCATTTTAAGTTACAATGATTTATTTGGGCACAGTGTTAATCACCTTTTAAAAGGAGCATAATTGCGATAAATATTTGAGTTATTTGTCTTACTGTTGAAATTTCCACAATATTGAGTTGAGTATCAATTTTATATCCATCTTTCATGTTGTTAATTTTTCAAAGACAATTGAATTTTTTTTTTTAGAATGAAACCGCTTTACAATTTTAAAATCTCTTGGTTAGAGATGTTTAAAAGTGAAATGTACAACAACAATAACAATAATAGGCCTTTATCCCACTATGTGAGGTCGGCTACATGAATAATTTTTCTCCACTGTGTCCTGTTAAGAGTCAAATTCTCAACTAAATCTAACAAAGAAATGTCATTTCTAATATTTTCTAACCAAGTATTTTTAGGTCTACCTCTACCCTTTTTAACATAAGCCAAATCTAATATATCTACTTGGATCATTGAAAGGCTGTTGTTTTATGTGACCAAACTATCTTAGGCGTCTCTCTCTAAGGTTATCTTCCACTGGAGCTACTCTAACCTTTTCACATATATGCTCATTTCGTATCATTTCTCTTAGAGTAAAACCACTCATTCACCTGAGCATCCTCATCGTTGCAATACTATACTTAATAGTATGCTTCTCTTTTAACGGCCAACATTCTGCACCATAATGCATTGCAGGTCTCACTACCATCTTATAGAATTTTCTCTTAAGTTTGAGAGGGACTTTTCTATCACACAACAAGCTCGATGCATTTCTTCACTTCAACCATCCAACATGAATTCTACTAATAATATCCCCATCAATTTCACCATCACTCTGAATAATAGATCCAAGATTTCTAAAATGTCTACTCTTATTAATGACTTGATCACCCAAAGTCACAATCCCCCCACTAGATCTATTTTTACTAAAATTACACTCTATATTCAATTTTAGATCTACTCAAACGAAAGCCTTTAGACTCTAAGGTTGACCTTAATGATTCAAGTTTACCTTCAACTCCCTCTCTAGTCTTATAAAGAAGAAGAATATCATCAGCAAAAACATACACCAGGGTACAACCTATTGCAAATGTCTAGTGAGAAAACATCCATTACTAAAGTAAAAAGATATGGGCTTAAGGCTGATCCTTGATGTAATCCAACTGAAATGGGAAAATACTTGGTCAAACCACCTTGTATTTGAACACAAGTAATAGCTCCTGCATATAGATCATTAATGACTTGAATTTAAGCATTATTAATCACTTTCTTATGTAGAACTCTCCATAGCACTATATTAGAATTTTATCATATGCTTTCTCTAAATCAATAAAAATCATATGTAGATCCTCCTTATTCTCTCTATACTTATCCATTAAACCTCTCAGTAAATGTATAGATTCCATAGTAGACATACCTAGCATGAATCCAAATTGATTTTGAGAAATATTAGTGCACGCCGCAACCTATGCCCCATAACTCTCTCCCATAGTTTTAAAGTATGACACATTAACTTAATTCCTTTATAATTTGCACAATCTTGTGCATCACCTTTATTCTTAAAAATAGGAATCAACACACTCATTCTCCACTCATCTGACATCTTCATAGTATTCAAAATAATATTAAAAAGTTTAGTAAGCCAAGAAATTTCTTCAATCTCTAAGCATTTCCCCATCTCTATTGGTAAAGATTATAAAATTGGATTAAGGAAGTCATTATAAAATAACTGAGCTTCAAAGTGAGCCTTCTCATTTAATATTCCCTGCCTCCTTCACTATCCAAAACATTAGTCTTTACATAATATAGGTTTACAAATCAGTTTAAATAAATAAAAGACGGAGATTGTTTCTATTTCAAAAAATTAGCAAATTCTCTTCATCTTTGTAATGCACTTCATTAAAATATTAAAATGTGTATTAATGTAAAGCATTTCATTTTCATCTTTATAATTTATCAATAAAAGTATTGAAATTTTGCATTAGAACTTAAACTAACTTATGTAGCGTGTAATACAATTTTATTTATGAATAGTATAAAGTTTTAAATTATTTTCTATTAAAATTTTAAGCTTTTTTTTTAAAAAAAATGTAAATACACTTAATCGTGCATATCTTGAAATCAAATTATAAATATACTTTTTCAAAAGGCAAAACAATAAAAATCAGTGAAAAAGCTTCATCTTTATTGATTTATCAGTAAAATTATTATTGTTGAAAATTAGTTGCTCATAATTTAGGATTTAAATTAAAAGGTTTAGAGTATATATAATACAAATTTATGTATAAATAATATTAAAAATATGAAATGTTTACCGTTTAAAATTTCCATACTTTTTTTAAGGTTAAATTCTTAAAAAATTAAAAAATGTGTACCAATGAAATTCTCAATTGGCAACATCAAAAGCCCAAACAGTTGAATTCAATCTATTTTCAAGTACTTCATCATTGGTATTTATCAATTAAATGGTCCAAATTTATTCATCATATCTTAAATATGTGAATGTATCATGTATATAATTCATACTTGTCTTTTAATAAAATTAATAAAAAATATTAAATATTTAGAAATTTCATATATTTTTTAAAATTATAAATGAACTTAAAAATTGAAACATATCTAGCACTAAAATTATAAATTGACAACATTGAAAGTTGAACAATGATTAATTATTTCATCTTTATTTATTGATCAATAGAATTGCTGTTTTTGTAAATTAGATTCGTACAATTTCGATCTTAAACTGTAAGAAAAAGTGGAAAAAATTGAAAATTGTGTAGTATTTAAAGGCCTTGATTTTATTTTAGTGTGATATTAAGTGTTATTTTAATCATAACATAAATAAATAAACAAAAGGATGAATCCATGATTTACTATGGGAAACATGCCAGAGCATTATTAATAATACTATATAGATGCTTTAAAGGTTATAGTGTGTATATATATAATCATTGTTTAAAATTGCGCAACATAAGGCTCGTCTTGAGGCCCGCCAACGCAATTCTAGTGAAAAATGCATCGAGGCTTACGCTTCAAAATTTTTTTTATGAGGCTTGCACCTTAGCTTGGTTGAGGCCCGTCTTGAGACACGCCATCTCTCACTGGTGTGAGACTTACGCCTCACCCAATTTATATATATTTTTATTAAAATTTACCTAAATCCTAAACTAAAGCCCCGAACAAATCGCGTTTTAATGCGCCCCCAAGCTTCAGCAACTTCCTCTCGACTTCCTTGACCTCCACCCCTCTGTTTTTTTATAGTCATCCCCATTGTAGCTTCTATCGGGGATCACTTGAAACCCACACATCACAATTACATCATCTAAAATTTTTAGAGTATTAATATCATCTTTATGCTAATGAAAATATTTATGAAAGAGGAAGATGACTTAATTAAATGAAAAAGAAGCAATTTGGGAGGCATAGGACTTTATAGGATGAGATAGGGTAGAGACCAATTTGTTATGATGATGACTCAATTAAAAAACCCCTCAGTGATGATGTGCAGATTATTTTAATTTGTTGTCAACTATCTTAATTTTTTTTAGGAATTAAATGTGGATTAGGAAATTGCGAAATAGGGAATTTGGAGTTGATTTAATATTATATGATACTTTTATGTTATTCCTATACTTAATATTATTTTGCTCTTAGAATATTTGTATTTCAATTCTATTTCACATAATTTATCACTTGCCACTTTATCTCTTGTGTAATTTTTTATTTTATATGGATGCCGATTTGTGACTTCATAATTTATCATTTGCCACTTTATAAGTATTTCCTATTAATCTTCAAAAAACAGCGAGAATTCTCCACAAAAATCCACACAAAAATAGGAAACAGTAGATAATTTGTAATATTTGATGAAATGGAAACGAAAAATACCAAAATACAATTGATCCTCTATTCGAGAGGAGGATCTTTCTCTCCCAAAACTCTAGGCGCCGCTACCCAAAGGAAACCTAAAATCTTGGAGATCTCAATTTTCAGCCAAACTCAAGATGCCCTAACCATAGGAAAACAAACTCTTTAATGCATACAAATCAAAGGGAAATCCCTAAACAGTCCCTACATTCAAATTTCCCTCCGAAAACCCTCACAAATCCTTCCTAAAATAATTGTTTGGCGATTGCGGTGCGGTCGGCCACGGAATGAGGCGGAGTTTCCGCTTAGGTTTCGCATCTGGGCCGGTCCCGTGTGGACTGACTGGACTGGTCCAATGGACCGGCCTAACAAATTTCTATTAATCTTAGTATAAATATAGTATTGATATCATTCAATTTCCAATGCATTGTGATGTGCATCATATAAGGATTCTGGAGCATACCCATGGATTTCTCATTATAACTCCTGTTTCAGTCCAATTAACCCATAATCTAATTAAAGTTACTTTCAGGATTCTCTCAACATGTATCTAATATCATCCAATGACGTTCTATATATTTTTTATCCTTAGGCTCAAATGCTCGACTTGCAATAGTGTTTTCTCATGTTCACCCTTAAGTGTAACAAGTGTCAGGTAATTGAAATATAAATATGATATGAAAATAGTGCGAGCTTAATGTGATGAATATAACTAAATAGAAAGCTACGAGATGATGATGCAAATGCAAATTAATCTGATTTTAAAATCGTTGGTTTGCTAAAATATGATTTTAAAGTCAGTGCATTTATAAAATATTTTGAGGTATCTGAATGAATATTGATTTGTGTTAGTTGTATGCTGGTGGAATGATTGATTCCATTTTCCTTCTTAATCATTTGGCATTAATTTTATCTACTCGTTTGAGTGTCCACTTTATATCCTTATACATGTCTAAACTACTTTGTTCTATTTTCAATTAACATTTCTTCAATAGATTCCACTTTAGTTATCCATTTAATAGAAATATTTTTTAATTTAACCTTCCTTATTTTGTTACACTCTATCTTGACATTCTTATTTCTTTCATGCTCAATATAGTTATCAACCACTTTTTATTAACCAACACTCAAATCTATATATGCCGTCATTGTCAACAACATCAACTATCAGCTTTATCACAATTTATTTTGGGATTTATTTTTTTATAAATTTATTTTGAAGTCTCTATCACATTCAATATTTCTGAGACACTTATTTAGTTTAACCACTCAACATTAGTTACAGAGTTTTTTTCTATTCTTTTTTTTCATAAAATTGCATATTGGATGCTCATATTTAAACTCCTCTTCTAAAATTTTATACTGCTGTTTTACTTTTTCAATCATATCACCAGATCTCTCATCATTTAAATCTATATTATCTGTGAAGAGTATATATCAAGGCACATTCCTTTAAATATTCTTTGTAATTATCTCCATATTTAATAAAAAAAAAGATATGAGCTAATCCTTGATATAAAACTCCACTGCTTAATTTGTCTTTACTTGATAAATCTATGTTTAAACCTGACAACACCATTTTTCTAATATTGATTTCTAATAAAAATCAATTAGTTGAAGCTTGCACTGCAGGCTTGAAGCTTATATTACACTTTGCTAGGGGGCCTACTGCTTCACTTAACGATTTTGCCTTTTTAAAAGTCGCTCATGTTATGTGTCAATTGATTTCACAAGATTGATGTGTAATCTGACAACAAATCTGTCATAAGAACTGTAATTTCTCATATGATCATGAAAGCGGCGTCATTGGCATTCCAAACCTATTGCTACACGATTAGAAAATAAGCTGGTAGTATGAATTTTAATACTACTATGGATTCTACAAGAAAGAGAATCAATGAGCAACCAAACAACAATACTGATGGAATGTACAGGTACAAGATCAACATGTCTAAATGAATCTAATTCTTGTCAAAATGCTTCATGCGGAGGTTCCGAGTTTGTGCAAGTCCAAATTCCCAACTATGGGCTCCACCTCATTTAGGAGGCCATAGTTTGTGAGTAGTCCGACTGCTTGAATTCGAATGCTTTTGTGTTTCTGTTTCAAAATGGTCAAACTCATTGGTTATCTATTTTTACTCCAATTTAATTCTTGAGAAATGTGTTCCATGTGCCTTGCTTGATTATATTAAATTTTTGGCAGTATGTTTTGAATGGATTCAAATGATAAGCTCTTTCTTGCTTAGCATCACTAAACTCCATTATTTTGCTCGTCTTGTACAGGCCATCTTCAAGCCGCCTAAAGCAATTCGTGGTGGCATTCCAATCTGCTTTCCGCAAGTATAATTCATTTCATATTTGCACGTCTATGTAATTGTATGTAAATTTGATTATTCTTCCTGACCCAAGAAAATTTCTACATGTAGTTTAGCAATCATGGAAATCTTGAAAAACATGGGTTTGCAAGGAATAGATTGTGGAGTATTGATCCTGACCCACCACCCTTTCCTACTGCCGCCTTAGATAAAGCTTTTGTCGACTTGATCCTCAGGCCATCTGAAGAAGATAACAAGACTTGGCCCAACAGGTATGTTTTCCAGGAACATAATTATACATGAGGTCTTTTTTTTATAAATAAATTGCAAAATCTTAGTCGACAAATAATCAAGAGCAAGTACATGAAAAAGTCTATGCCTAACATGAGGCATACCCAATTAGGCCAACGGGGTACCCCAACAAGCAGCCCTGACACCTTATCAACAACGGAAGTCCTAGAGGATTTAATATTATGACCAATATTATGATAGGAAGTGCTTGCAGAAATTTAGGAAAAGCTTTGGATGAAATCTGATTTCAGCAATTTTAGAAAACCAACGACAAGAAAATCATGAATAGAACACACAAGAACATCTTTTTTATTGAAAGTTTTATGAAAGAAAGACAAGATACAAGTGGATCTTCAATCGGAGAGGAAGATCCGGCTCTCCAAAATCTCTAGCTGCCGACCAGAGCCCAAGCACCCTAAGAACAATCTAAATTTAGCAAATAACACATACCCATGACCCTAGGAAATCACCTACTTAAAGCAAATAATAAATAACAAATACCCAAACAGCCCTCTCTCAATTCCCTCCCAAATCTGTCCTATTTCCTTAATTATTTCTCTCCCAAATCTGGTCTCAAATCAGCCCCCAAATCTTCCCTCTTCAATCAAGGAACATTTTATAATTAATCAACTCTAAATCAACCCCTAAATCTGTCCTCTTCAATTAGGAAACATTTTCTAATTAATCCCCATATTCAATTATGAAAAATTTCTCTCTTAATTAGAAAACTTAATTCCTTCACAATCAAATCAGCTGGTCCAGCCCCAATTCTCATACCTCCTCCAGGCTCTGCAGCTCAACCAAGTAGCCCAACTGTGCTCCTTATATCGCCTTGAATATTGGTTCTAAGTGAAACCATGGTTTTGGACAGGCTAGGCTCCCCTCTAATAAACACTTTCCTCCTTTCAAACTTGAACTTCATCGTTAGCATCTACCAATCAATTTACCTTTTCCAACTTATGTAGTCATTTCAATCCCAGGATGACATCAATGCTCTATAACTCCAACGGAAGAAAGTTCTACCTCATCTAGACTCCCTGTATGGTCAAAATGGCCCCCTACACACTCTTCTACTTGTCTTGATCTTCCCAGTCCCCATCATCACCCAATAGCAGCCTGTGTCCACCTGTTTCACTCCTCATTGCTCTACGACCTAGTTTGAGATGAAGTTGTGTGTGGCCGCACTGTCTATCAACACTACTACATCTCTTCTTTGTCTCTCAGTTTCATGGTATGATTTAGAGTGAATCCCACCATTAAGTTCGAGGAGACATCTATCATGTCTAAATGCATATTTCCCCCTCCACTGCTGCCTCACTCCCACCTCCCTCAGCTTCTTCATCGTTAGCATCTACCAATCAATTTGTCTTTTCCAACTTATGCAGTCATTTCAATCCCAGGATGACATCAATGCTCTCTAACTCCAACAGGAGAAAATCCTATCTCACCTGGACTACCTGTATGGTAAAAAATGACCCCCTACACACTCTTCTACTTGTCTTCATCTTCCCAGTCCCCATCAGCACCCCATAGTAGCCTGTGTCCACCTGTTTCACCCCTAATTGCTCTACAACCTAGTTTGAGATGAAGTTGTGTGTGGATGCGCTGTCTATCAACACCACTACATCTCTTCTTTGTCTCTTAGTTTCATGGTATGATTTAGAGTGAATCCCACCACTAAGTTCAAGGAGACCTCTATCATGTCTAAATGCATATTTTCCCCCTCCACTATTGCCTCACTCCCATCTCTCTCCTCAGCTTCCTCTTCATCACAGACGGTGAGAACCAGAATAGTTCGGTCCTTACACCTGTGCCCTGGTGTATACCTCTCATCACATATGAAACATAACCCAATTGCCCGCTTATCCTGCACATCTGTTTCTGTAAAGCGCTTGAAGTTGTCTCTAAGGCGAACTCCAATGCCTTTCTCCTTCGGTGCTTCCCTCTAAACGACATTGTCTGGGTTCTTGGTTCTAGGGTCATAGAGGTACTCCTATAAGCCCCTCCCATGATGTTTCTCCTACTGGCCTTCTCCCTCCATTGTTTTTCTTCCATCCTCTATGCAAGCTCCATTGTCTCTCTCAGCCCTCTAGGTCTTAGCACTCTGAGCTCTGCTCATATGTCCTCTTTAATCCCTTTCATGAAATTACCTTCCAACCCTTCCTCGGAAATTCCTCTCAGGCTTCCCGACGGCAGCTCAAACTTCTCCTGATACTCCGTGACTGTCCCCTCTTGAGCTCGGGCATAAAACTATTCATGGAGGTTTCCTTCCTCAATGGCTCAAAAGACTCCAATACACTCCTTAAATTCCCCCCATGAATAAATCGGATATCGAGCCTCCCTCCACTGAAACCAAGCTAGGGATTTTCCCTCCCCATGAGTTTTTCCCTTCCGTCTTGCCGTTGATCGCAAAGTAGCACTCCACCTGATACACCCAACCCCGAGCATCTTACCCTTCAAACACGAGCATCTTCAACTTTATCAATCTCGCATCCATGCCCCAATGTCTTCTCCTTCCTCAATGGCTCTTAGCTGATTTGGACCCAATGAATCCGCCCAACCATGACCTCCTCCATTCCTCCTCTCCCAAGCTCGGGTAGTCTCCCAATGGGTTCGGCCTCCCCCCTCCTTTGCTTCCTTTCCTTTAGATTACCCTGATTCGCCGACCCAAGAGAGCCCTCCGTGGCGGCCCTTGATGGAAAACACTCTCTACTTTATCATTGTGCTCCGTAATCTCTTTCCCCTTTGGTTCATCCCTCAGAACTGCAGATGAGGCTTTTGACTGCATTTTGATCAACTTCTTCATCTTGTCTTCCATATTTTTGAAGCAGCTCTCTATAGATGAGAGCCTCCTTTCCATGTCGGAACATCTTTCCTCCACTCCGGCCTTGAGATTGTCCATCTCATCTTCCAACATCTCTATCTTCTTTGCTGTCATTCACGGATTTAGGTTCCAAACCATGAAAAACAATAAAAATTGACGAATCTGGTCTTCAAACGGTAAAATCAGCAAGGTGAGAAGAAAAATGCAGGAGAAATCAACAATGGGGATTTAAATTTCAGCCAAGGACATCGTTTTGATACCAATTTGATAGAAAGTGCTTATAGAAATTTAGGAAAAGCCGTGACTGAAATCTGATTTATGAAAGAAAGACAAGGTACAAGTGGATCTTCAATTGGAGAAGAAGATCCGATTCTCCCAAATCTCTGACTGCTAGCTAGAGGCCAAACACCCTAAGAACAATCTAAATTCAGCAAACAAAACATGCCCCTAATCCTAGAAAAATCACCTACTTAAAGTAAATAATGAATAACAAATACCCAAATAGCCCCCTTCAATTCCCTCCCAAATTTGCCCTATTTCCTTCATTATTTCCCTCCCAAATCCGCTCTCAAATCAGTCCCTAAATTTGTCCTCTTCAATTAGGAAATATTTCATAATTAATCCCCTCCAAATCAGCCCTCTTCAATTAGGAAATATTTCCTAATTAATCTCCCCCCCAAATCAGCCCCAAAATTTGACCTCTTCAATTAAGAAATATTTCCCAAGTAATCCCCTCCAAATCTGGCCCCAAATCAGCCCTCCCCTTCCTGTGGCTTCTACTTCCGCTCTCGTTCCCGCTATAGCATATTAGCAAGAAAATCAGCAGCTTTATGATAAAAACCTTTCTAGCAGCCATAAGAAAATCATCAGCCACATACTCTTTACACCAAATATGAGTTAACCTGAAAAGAACCTTAGACAGCAAATGTTTTGATAACCCTAACATGATAAAAACCTTTCCAGGCACAGTTGTTTAATCTTAAGTGTAAGCCTCTAATAATTGAACCATCAGTTTGAATCCAAGCACTGTGCCAGTTATGCTTCAAACACAATTTGAGACCTTGGACAAGACCAAATAGCTCAACAGCAGGAACAACTAACCCTAAGATATGAATAAAAAGAAAACAAAATATTCCCCTCATGATCAAAATAATAATCCACAAGCATTTTCACCACGATAAGTCTTAATAGATCCATCGATATTAGGCTTATCTCATCAACCAAAGCCTTAATCCACTGAATAAATTTCACGGGACATAAAGTTAGACATAATAAATATTATAATAACTAAAGAATGAATGAATCGCCTAAAAACTATTTAAAATTTAATAAATCTGCATCCAACGTTAACTGAATTTGATTATCCACTGTAAAAACAATTCTGTCCTAATAAAAATAAACATTATCAAACTTAGCTGCATTTCTCTCTTAAAAAAACAGAGAACAAAAACTGCAACAAAAATAGTAATAGAAAACCGACCACCCCCAAAAATAGAACTATTCCAGGTAAGGATAAACAACTGCAGATTATTATTAGCAGGAATCTGAATCAGGAAAATGAAAGCTCAATGAATTCACACCTTAGAAATACTGGTTCCAAAAATAAAAACATGGCAAAAAGGATTTCCAAATAAAAATAAAAATAAAAACATTGGCCCTTAGACGCAAATTAAAACCAAGGTTTTTCATTCTAATGTCAATATGGAGAAACTCATGATATAAATGTCAACTAAAAAAGAAAGATGCATGAATAGATATTTATGCCAAAAAACCCACAAAATTTTCATCCGCTTAAGGAGGACACGACTCAGCATAATAAATTCAGTTTGAAAAGAAACATCAAGTGTAACATTACATTAAATAATATATTTATTAAACCTTTTCAAAAGAATTTCGAAAATATGAACAGCAAAATTTTGAGGTAAGCAGGTCATAAGCTTACCCAATCATTTCTTAAACATAATTATTTAACTCAACTAACATTGGGAATAAGAAATACAACTACTGATATTTGTAAGTTCTCTTACTTGTAGTTCGTTTTTTGGAATTATAAATGATTAAAAAGTTCACTGATGTATTCATGACGTATTCTTTTAACTAATGTAGCCATGAATTTCGTTTGAGGGTCACCCTGGGACCTGGAGGTGACCTTATGCTGACCTCACGAATAAGAAATACAAATACTGATGGAAAGGCATTCTCCTTCACATTTGCATACCACACCTACTTTTCTGTTTCAGATATCAGGTTTGTTTCATTCTATCTGAGCATAGAGTTTATGTAAATATATAATCTCAAAATTGTGCTTATTTTATGCCTTTCCTATTATTGCAGAAAGAAGTAAGATAAAATCGTGTCATGCATTTCCAATATCATCAATTCAGATTTTATTAAGTTGTTTTTTTAGCAGATTTATGTTCCACTTGGATGAGGGCTATCATGTTGAGAGAGTATATGATTCAGTGAGTGATTTAAAATCTGGAGTGGGTTTTAGCAAGTCATATGGACTGTATGACTGTACCTGCAGCTAAAATGTGTATCTGTACTTGAATTCTCTTATGTAATGTGCTTCTTCGGTAGTTTTTACAAGAACTCTTGTCTTCTTGATTGTTATACTATATTTGGTGATGTGGCAAGGGTGGATAGGGGTGTAAGTAAGCCGAGGCGGCTCGAGCTCGATGTCACAACCCGGCCCGACTAGCCCGAATCAACGGGGCGGGAATAGATAGTCGTACGGTAAGCAGTAAAATTTTAACATTAACCAACATAAACATAAACTAAATTTCATTCCAAAAGAACATAAAAGAGCCACTAATTCAATAGACTGAAAGTTTACAAATATCCTCAAACCATAACTACTAAAAACATCAACTATAAAAGTCAACATAAACTTCAATATAAACTCCAACAGGCTCCTCAAATACAATCCATTGACTCAAACATAAAACAGATAACATAAAACCTTTCTTCTTAAGGTCCTTTACGACGGTAGGTGTACTGTCGTCTTGTTACCATCACTTTCCAGATGGTTCTCCTGAAAAAGATTCCCACAAGCAGGGGCGAGCTTACTTGCTCTGCAGGTAATTCATATTTTTCATAAAAATTTGTATAAAATCAAAATAAAATATCTTTTCATAATAAAACATGAAACGACGATCAATTTTGTATAAATTCATAACATTTGTATAATAAACCTTTTTCATAAATTTCCTCAATCATAAGCCTTCACTTAATGCTTTTCCTCAAACATCAACTTTTATATTACGTAGAAAGCATATATAAATCATATTATGCATAATGTCTATTATTTCACCCGTCTCAGAGGTGCTCTTAAATTTTGTAATGATCAGATACACATTTCATATCATTTGGCCATTCCTTTACCATTGGTTCTAACAAGCCTTCTTTATCATTTGGCTCTTTCGAGCCCCTTTACCATTTAGGCACTCCGCATCATCATGCACAGTCTCATATTATAATTTATATTTTATGTTTAGTCAATCATATGCGTAATGAGAACAATTATGAATAAAAAATCATTTGTTTAAAACATGAAAACCTTAAATCTAAACATAGTATGAAAGCTTACTAACATCATGAAATAAAAGACTTGAGCATGATATTTGCCAAAAATAAAATTTGTAAACGATATAATTTGAAAGTTCAAACTATTTGCATTGAATAAAAGAACAAAGCATAAATATGAAATTTTTACAATAAATATGAGTATCTATCTTTAACCCAAGAACAATACTTTCTCAAAGTGTCGCTTTGACACACTTCGTTCTCCTTAAAGTTCACAACCTAATAATCACATAAAAAATAAAAGTCAACTAAAATTCTTCCCTAAAACTTTAATTAAATTCCCACTTGTCTAAACCCTTCGTTTATTCTTAATTGTTCCTTACGACGTTTAATAAAATTTACATTATTTAATCTTAAATTTTGAATTTTATTAATTAGAAAATTAAGAAAAATGAAATTTCTTACAAAAATTCAAAATTTTGTTTTAAAAACATTCCTAAGACCCTTAGAAACGATTTTTGTGAAAGCACTTTAAGGAAATTAAATTTTTAGGTAAAAGCCCTAAATTTTTTATTTCAAAAAATTCTCAAAGAAACCTCAATTCTATCATTAAAATATTTTCCTAATCCTTCCTTATAGATTTCGTAAATATGTTTTGAAAGAAAACGCATTTTTGGTAAAACCCTAAAAATTTCTTCTCTAAAAATCTTGAGATTGAGAGAGATTCATTTCAAACAAAACATACCTTTGTATTCCCCTTATCGTCCTCTTTGATTTCCACTAATTTTCTCGCCGGAAAATCGCCACCGGAGCCACCCCGCCGAAGCCATGCGTGTCTGCCCCTCTCGGTTTCTCTCGGCCGAAACTTGTGAATAAAATGAGGGAGGGGTGCGGTTTTGCTCATTTAGAGAAATAGTGAAATCCAAATGACCCATATACCCTCACTTAAACAATTCTGTCATAAGAGAAGGTTAGGGGTAGATTTGATATTTCTAAACTTCTAGAATTTTTATTTCCCAAAATACACAAAATTACCTATAAGTTCTATATATTAAATCGTACAGAATTTTTCGTAGAATTTTATAAAATTACTTCCGTCAAATTTCGTTAACTTTGAATTTACTTTGAATTTTCACTTAAGTTTCATCGCGACACATCGAAATGCATGCGACAACTTATGATCGTCATTTTTCGGGTTTTACACTCGACTCGTTTGTGGGCTCGCTAGCCGGCTCAAAATTATTAAATTTTAATATTTAAAAAAATAATAATAATAAATGCCCACCTATATTTTGAATTCCCGTTGTGTTTTAAAATTCGGCTCAGTGTGTGTTTCGAGAATTCATAAATAATCCTGCGTGTATCTCAATCACCTGCCCATCTCTCTCTCTTCTCTCTGACAGACCTTGAATAATAAATGCTCAATACCTCATTATTCTCATTTGAATATTCATTCTCTTGCTCTGACAAACCCAAAAAAATGGCTCCTTACCCCTCTCTCTCTCTCTCTCTCTCTCTCTCTCTCACTCCTGCAGCAGTTTTAAAAGACAGTGGAGTTTTTTTGGAAGGCAAACGTGATTGTGTCGGAGGCTGGAAGAGTGGCTCGAACTCGTTTACAATTGAACAAGTCGAGCTCGAGTTCGAGCTCGTTTTCCGACTGACGAGCTGAGCTCGATTATGCCAAAACTCAACTTGATTCGTTTCGTTTACACCCCTAGCGGTGGGCAGTAATATCATCATTAATGGATAAACAGGTAGAAGTTGTGCCATTACCATATTACTTTTTGAAATCACAAAAGTTCAAACAATGTATTTGATGAGAAGGTAGCTATTAGTACTGATGATGAATTTCTTATCTCTGACCAAGCATGTTCTTGAAGATGTTTCACTGGAAAGGAGGATGTCATTAATCAAGGCTGTTAGCTAAAGGGAGAAAAGATATTTTTATTTATTGTAATATCTTCTAGTTAGAGGTTAGAGTTCAAATATTAAAGTTCATTTAAAATGAGAAATTTGTTGCCAGTTTTAATGGCAATTTGTTTTTCAGCAAAGGCCCATTTTTTTATCAATTTTGTGATAGAATAGAAGATTAGATGAGGAGCTGTCTTTGCCTACTCTCATTCATACTCATTCTTTTATATGGTTGTACTATGAAGTACCTTTATGTTGAGTTCGTAAAAGTAAGATTATGAGTATTATTACGTGTCAAAGCAATCTTTAGTGCCTGTAAAATATGGGTTGATGGGTTATATTGGGCCTAATACGATGTCCTAGACATAATTGGCAAAACAAGAAGTCAATAGATCAACCCAATGATTTTGTCCTCAGGAAGACCATCGAATTCTCAAGTCAATGGCTGAGCTTGAAGGTGATAAGAGCTGAAATTGATTTAGTAGAGTTTCCCATATGACATGAAAAGTGAGGCCCTCCTGCCACTTAGGGGAAAGAGTTTGTTGATCTTTTTACTTCTCCTATAAAGGAGTTTTCATAGAGGTGAGAGTGAAGGGATGAATCGTGAATAAAGAAGACATCTCTTATTTGAGATATGTGTTAGACTTTAACTTCTTTGGTTTAAGGTATTTTGGTCCTTCGATCGATCAAAGGGTTTGGAAGTGAGATGACTTATATTCGAGATTCGCATCTACCCATTCTAATCGTAGGGTGATAGAAAGATGTATGGAAGGAATCTCAATATTATGGTTGGATGCCCTTTTTTAATTGGGGCCTAATAATTTTGTGGGGATCTCTGTTTAAAATTACGCAATTAGAGGCGCGCCTCAAGGCGCGCCTTTGCGCAATTTGACCAAAAAACGCCTCGAGGCTTACGCAATTCTTCACCTGGATGAGGCGTATGCCTCACCTGGACTGAGGCGCGCCTCAGAGGCGCAATTGCGCAATTCTGGGTGAGGTGTACGCCTCACAGATTAGGCCCCACCCACTTAAAATGAAACCTCTTCCTCCCTTCATACCGCACGGTCTCCCTCTTTTCCAAAAAAATTCGCTTCCAGCTCTGTTCGCGAAACCGAAGGCGTCCCGCACGGTCGTCCATCCTTCCCGCCGCCTCTCCCGTCGGCGCCGCCTCTCTCCAGCGAAGTGGAAGTGTCCGGCCGCCTTGTAGGAGAAGTCCACAAACGATTTTAGGTTTTTTTTTTTTTGACTTTTTGGTTAGATTTTTGAAGTGAAAGAAATTATAGGGTTTTTGATTTTTTGAAATTTTTTGTGTGATTTTCGATTCTTTCATTAGGGATCATGGTAAGAGGCAAGGAAAAGGGGTCTTCGTCATTGCGAAGGGACCCTTCTTGGAAATATAGTGTACATGTTGACATTGGCGGCGGAGAGAAGAGCTATGTTTATTTGAAATGTAATTTTTGCGATAAAGTGGTGAAGGGAGGTGTTACCCGCATGAAGGAACATCATTTAGTGATGGGATATGATTGCATTTTATATGTTTTTTGTACTTTGGGAGTTTTGTTGAACTAATATTTTGTGATTTTGTACTTTGGGACATTATTTTATTGCATCTACTTTCTTATTTTCCACTATTTTCATATATCATTTAGATGTTTTTATTGTAAGGTACAAAATTGCTATTATTTTCCTGCTAAAACCCTTAATTTTTCATTTGCGCAATTCTGTGTCCGTGAGGCTTACGCCTCAGACCGCCTCGAGGCCTACGCCTCACCTCACGGACGAAAACCGCCTCGAGGCTTAATTACGCAATT